AGGCGGTGCACCAGAAGAAGTATCCAGCAAGTACCAGCGGCGACATGGTGCCGAACCAGTGTCCGTAGACCGACGTGTCCCCCACCTGGCGCGCCTTGTCCGCCTCCTTCTCCAAGACGGACTCGGCAGTCTTTGTCTTTGTCAGAGCGATAGGCTCAGGTTCATCTTCGTCGTCGTCGTCGGCACCCCTGGAAGCAGCCTTTTCCTCCGAAACCTTGAGGCTCTCAATGTATTTTCCGTTGTTTTTCAAGTCGGCGAAAGAGCCTTGTTCGACCACGGTGCAGTCTGTACCGAGGGCTATGATGTGGTTTGCTGAAGGAAGGTGCCGGACCGAGTGAGTGCAGAGCACTGCTGTGACCCCTCTGCGGCGAACGATGCCATCAGGACCAAACACGCGGCGGAAAACATGCTCCTCTGTGGTGGCATCGAGGCCGCTCAGAATGTCGTCGAGGATGAGAATCTCGGTCTCCAGGTAGAGGGCGCGCGCGAGGGCAACTCGTTGTCTTTGGCCTCCGCTCAGTGTGACGCCGTTGCTGCCAATCTTGGTGCGGTCACCTTTGGGCAACGTTGCTAGGTCTGCGGACAACATGGTGGCGTCGATGACTTGTTTGTAGCGCTCCGGGTCCAGGGCAGAGTGCCCAATGATGTTGGCCTTGACCGTGTCGTTGTAGAGGAAAGGGGACTGGTCGCAGTAGCCCACGTTGCGGCAGCTGACTCCAAAAGCGACTTCACCGGAATTGTATGGTGTCTCGCCTAGAAAGGCCTTCAACAAAGTCGACTTTCCAGAGGCAATAGGTCCCACAATGATGGTGAGAGAAGAGGCGGGAATCTTGATGTCGATCTTCTCCAAGACGTTCTTTCCCTGTTCCCAGCCAAAGGAGCCTTGCGTGACTGTAATCGCGGTGGCCTTAGAGTCCGCCGGAACATTCCCATTCTGCTTAGCTGGGGGCATCGATTCAGGGGTCTTGCGGAAATCCACTCGCGCTTCCTTGTTCAGATATGCTTGGATACGGCCCAAACAGGCGAATGCTCCAGTCATCATCGGGAACGTTTGCAGCAGCAGTCCCAAGGGGCCAGCGATGAGCATCAAGTAAGCGATGGACGTAAAGATGCGAGTAACATCCAGAGTCGACGAGGTCGTCGCAAATGCCACCGTCGGCCCGAGTAGGGTTGGCGTGAAAGAAGCAGCGACAGCGCAGATGATCATGGAGCGCCACCGGCCGCCATCATGAAGATCCTGGAGCCGCAGTTTGAGAATCAACTTCTCCACCGGGCCAGTCATGGCAGAAATCTTTAGCGCCTTCATACTCGAGATGGACTTGGACGTCACGCCCACCCGCTTCTGTATAGCCTTCATCCACACTGCCTGACGAGACGCTGACACGCCGGCAATGACTGCGGCGATTGCGAAGCAGATGATGACAAGAATGATGGGTGACACAAAGGCAGCACCGATCTGGCGCTCGAGTAGCCAGCATGCGATTGCAATCTCGATGGGATTCGCCCAGTATTCGTGGAAATGCTGGATGCCGCCCTTGAAGCGCTCCACGTCGGCGTTCATGAGCGTCAAGGCCGCAGAGTCGTCTGCGGCGGACAGCTTCAGGACTGTCGTCTTGCGGTACACAGCAGACGCTAGCACTCCCCTGACCATGAAGAGAGACCGTTCGTGCAGGTAAAAGTGCAGCGCCTGACAGGCTGCCATGCCGACGTAGATGAAGAACGCCGCGCCGATGAATGCGTAACCCTTGTTCAGCGACGAAGAGTCTGCAGGCTCTACTAGATAGCTCAGGAGACCTTGAATCAAAAGGGGCTGTCCAAACATGAATCCGATTCGAAGGGCCCGAGGGACGACCGGCAGGATCAAGGGGATCGCGAGGGTACGAAACAAGCTTCTGGCGAGGGGGTGCGACTTGCCGACGTTGTTGTTTCTCGCATAGTGAGGCTCAAACTTTGCGTGCAGGACCTCGGCCGTCATAGCATCGTCGAGGAGGTAGAGGTCGCTGATTGTGAGAATTTTACGGTATCCCTTGATGAAGAGGCCGTTCAACCAGAAGAACGAAGCCAACTTGATGATGCCGCCATACGCTTCGGGACCCTGCGGTTTCTGGTCGACGTACCATGCCAGGGGCTTTTGGTGAGACTCCACGACCAAAATTGCAGCCTTCAAGACAAGTGATGCGAGGGAGGTGTAGGCTTGCTGACGGCCGGCATCAGACCCTGCCGAAAGCCACAGCGTTCGTGAAAGCGGAACATCGAGAACGAACGTCACCAGAAGGAAGATGCTGAGCAGAGTTGATGGCCGGGGAGAACGGGCATGCTCCAAAAACGACAACGGCATCATCGCAAGACCGACAGCGAATACCATCGCATCCGATGCGACTGACGTAGTCGTTGTCCATGACGTGCTGCGGCTGGTCAAAACCAGTTGATGAAGCCGAAGTCCCGCGTATGCGGCGATGAAGAACTGGTTGGTGGTCAGACAAGGCGCAGAAATGAAGGTGAGCAGCACTTGCGATTTTCAGCCACTGGAACTTGGGACCAGCTGCAACTCTGGGCCTGCGGAGAAGCACGAATAAGCGCGGCAGGGCAGCAACAATGAAGACGGCCGCAGGGACGATTGTCAGGATCACCTGCTCGAACTTGATTGTCAGGTCGAAGTCATCACGACAACCGTGGACGACGGGACCGAATGTGTCGTCATTGGTGCAGGAAGACTTCATCGCGGCGTGACGAGGAAGGAGAGGTCGCGTATGGCAGCCTGGGCCGATACTCTGTTCGGTGAAGCTGGACAAAATTCAATCGTTGAGGAGCATTCGGCGCTGTAGTACGAACTGAGGCCAATCTGAAAACAGGAGTGAGCGAGATCAGACGCGCGTGACTGGACAGCACCAGGACTACTCGCGTAAACATAAGTAGCGAGTCGTGCGGCGCAGCAGCGACTGAGAGTGAAGCTGTAATCGTCAGCCAGCAGTAGATTGTAAAGGGACTTTGGTTTATTTGGTTAGATCAGTCTAGCGTATCAGTGTCCGGGGGGGTGTTCCTGTTGTCCCGATGGGGAAGGCGGCTATGGATCCATCCCTGCGCGGTGCCGCGATCCCGTTTGGTGCCTGAGACATGGAGTTGGTAGTTAGTGCTCACCGAGCAGTAGGCTGATGCGACACAGCTATGATAGGCTCATGGCGGCGTCCATCTGGAGGCATCGCGTGCCCTAAAATGGCTGCAGCAATTGGCGCTGTTATTCGCAACTCTGGATGGCTTCTGTGAAGGTGTATCACTTGGAAAGCCCATGTCGGTAGCAACGAAAAGTGTCATCGGTGTGCCTCATGCAGAACTCGTCGGCAAGACCCACGTCGGCTTGCCAATGCGCCAGAAAGAAGCCGTTTCTGTGCATGTCGACATCCGATGAGATGCTCCATCCGACAATAAGCCCCGCAGTGTCGGCACATACCTACCCCACAGAAGCTTCGGCGCCGAGACCCACATCGCCGTTCTGCTCCGGGCTGTGCGTCCCGGGCATTGCCCGCTGTGCGTCCGATCCGCGCTGTCGAAGTCCGGAGCCCACTCACCTAGATGGAGCGCGCCAGGACCCTCGAGAAGTGCACAACGTCCAGTCCGAAAAGTCCCGACGACCCAAACCCCAGTTCTCCGTATTGCTCCGCCCTTGACAGTTATTGAATCAGACCAGCATGTCATTGCCAGCAACCCCAGGATGCTGTGGGGGCGGGATCGACGTGAGGACATTCGTACGGCAGCGCGCCCATGGGCGAGATTCCCGACCCCAGGCCGTTTCATTCCATTCCCGTCGGGGCGTTTCAAGAATGAGCCTTTGGTTGCATTGGCTGCCAGGGCGATCGCTGACTCGCTGGACCACACACAAGATGCGGAGCAACTGCAGCGCCCAAGACGTCTAGGCAAGGGTCGAGCCCCCTTTTGTGCTATTTTGACGATCAACTCTCACGATTGGAACCTATTTTTCGAGCGTGGGGGTTCATCGAGAGACAACTCATCGAATGCCAACCCCATGGGCCGTCCGGGAGAGCGACCTTCGTCTAAATAAAGGCACCTCACCTCCCCTTCTCCGTCTGAGACGCGGACAAAGTCCCGCTCACAACGAGAAGCCAAGAGATAATTGAAACGTTCATCGCCAAGAATGCGGCGAGACCGCAGCCTGAAAGCTTTTTTTTTTTTGTTCTCCTTCATCGCCAGACGGATAGTCCCCCAATTGCCGCCGCGATGGCCCCCCTAAGAAACCGATAATACCCAAAACCCGCCAAGCTGCTGCCAAGTCCTCGGGCCACCAGCCGATTGCACCGCCCGACGTCCGAGGCCGAGCCTCAACGCAGACCTCCAAAATAGACAAGACGATTCTGGGTATATTCATAGCAAAGGGGTTGGAGGCATGATGGGTAAGGGGCAAAGATGAACCGTACGAGGTTATCGAGCAGAGAGGTCAGGCAATTTCTCTGGGAGGCTATCAAATCAACTTACAGAGAATTCGTGAGAAGAGCCAGGGGCTAGACGCATTCCTATGGCTCTTTGATGCAGCAATGTGGCCCGCAGCTGGCCTAAGCACTGAGCGTAGAGTATCGTCCCAATCACGTCCTAAAGGCAATTTGTACAGGCCTCACCAGGACATCCAGAACCCATAGAAACGCTTGGCAAGCGGGAACACAAGTTGCATTGAAACCCCTGGGCCTGGCCTATCTTGAAGCCGCACTTTACAATTGCCCAAGATGCTAGGAGGCTGGGCTTTCGCATGCCAATGTTGACTGGTCAAGAGCCAAGCAATGAAGTTCCCATAAATATCACACACTTCAATTTCATGGACTTGTCCGACAAGCAGGCCAAAGTATATAATCAACACAGACGCTCAGCTTCAAACTCATCTTATCCATCATCAACCACCACCATCATCAAGCTTAGTCTTCATCCGAACAGCCTTCAGCCAAAACTGTCAACCTCACCTTCTTCACACACCACCACCACACACATCAGTCAATATGCGCGGCATCTTCATCACAGTTCTCGCCCTCGTCGCGGCCTCCGCCGCCCAGTTCACCGGCCCTTGCACAGACAGCAACTGCGGTGTCTCTGGCGAAAACTGCGAAGCCGAGGGCCGCCAGTGCTTCCCCTTTCCCAATGTCAACCCCGCGCTCCGCGAAGGCTGCGTCTGTGGTTCTGGTTAGGGTACATCCGACGCTGGAGTTTCAAAAGTGTAAGTGATGTCTGATCATTCGGTCTCCAGCCTGTCATCTCATCATCCCTCCCAGGTTTTCCGGCCGCCATAAGAATACATGCATCCTGAAAACACGGGTTCAGGACTCGGGCTGGCTTTGATTTGGATTTGGCAGGGCGAAGCGTTTCTTTGAGCATCATCTATTTAGCGTACAAGATACTTAGCACAGACTAAGAATGGATAGCCGGCGTTGTTCGGCGCCAGACTGTTTTCAAATCAAGTCCCGTCCCAGGCCTCATTCCAAACGGCTTCAAACTCTCGAGAGACGTTCTTCCACTGAATGCTCGCGATTCACGCAAACGAAAGTTCCCACGATCGACGAGTCATTTGATGCTCGTGCCGAATCTTGGCTTTCTCCAGCGGACATCATGCCGAGCCTGGACCAGGTCAACACGGCTTTGAGCTTGTCTCACGGGCTTCAGTGAGGCCAGACCCGGCGAGAAGATGCGGAGAAGTGACGATGTGAGATGCGATGACACGAGCCAAGACACTCACTTACCAGGACTGCCTTGATGAGTCGAGAATGGCTTGAACATCCCAGCGGCATTCGTGAACCACCATCAATTCACGTCAATTGACTCCGATGGCAAGAGGCATCTGCTTCAATTGACCTAGGAAGTCTCAACATCCACCCAAGGTCCCATGAGCTTGCTCAGGTCCGTCTCCGAGACATCCCACTCTCTCTGAATGACCTCCTGAACCCACTTGCCTCGAGGTTTCAGACTAAATTTGAACTCTGAGGGCGCCGTCATGAATCCCGCGACCTCCATAGCCATCGAATCAACCTGGCCAACGGGTGCAACCTCAAAGGCCCACAGCAGACTCGCAACAATCATGAAGGTGTTGTCGAGAGCCACCCTCTTCCCCAAGCAGCTTCGTCTTCCATGCCCAAAACCCGCCAACGGGAGGTCCGTACGAAGCTTTCCCTCTTCGTCTAGCCACCTCTCTGGAACGAATGAGTCCAGATCACCGAGTGATTCGTCAAAGACCTTGTCGTCGCGGCCAATGGCCCAGGCATTAGCAAACAGAGTCGCTCCCTTGACGATGGGCGTGCCAAAAATCTCGTCTTCCCGATCCGCTCTCCTGGGGATGCTGCCCGGCGCGATTGGCCTCCAACGCACCACTTCCGAAACTATTGCATCAATGTACATCAGATTCGATCGGTCTGCGAACCGCGGCAAGCGGTCCCTACCAACAAATTGGTCCAAGACAGCGTGTGCCTTTGCCACAAAGCCCGGGTTGGCATGCGCAGCGACCAGAAGCCACAGCGTCTGTCTCGGGCTCGTCTCCATCCCGCCCGAAATACTGGTCGCCAGCGTGAAGGCGAGGTCCAGATCCGGCACAGCCTCAGTATCAGGATTCTTGGCGGCGATAGCGCGTGCCTGCTTCGTGGCGTTCCAGCCAGGCTCGTTCACTGCGATTTCTACAAGACGAAGGTAGAGATCTCGTTGCTCAATGAAGAGCTTGTTCGCAGCACGATGCCAAGGGGAGATGATCGCGGGGATATGCCTCAGGGGCGGGATAAAGTCGACGAGACTGGGGTTGGCGGCAACGTAGGTTACTTTGTGCTGAACGTGGAGGATCTCCGTGAAGAGAGGATCGCTGTGAGCTGGCACCCGTATGCCGTAGTGCAGTCCGAGGATGACGCTGGCCTGGGTCCGCTCCAGCAGCGGGTAGAGCTCCGTGCTGCTCATCACCGTCCGTCCGCTTTCTTGCACAGCATTGACAGCATCTCTGAGCAGCTGCCTCGACTCCAGCTCCATGAGTGGCTGGACCCTCGGCGCAGCCACGGCTCCAAGGCTCGGCGACAGCATGCGGTGATGTAACTTCAAGTGTGCGTCGTAGTCATGCATCAACGTCATCCTCGACTTGCCTGGCGCCGAATCGGTAATCATCTCCATGCTCACAGAGCTCGGCCGGTTGCTATAGAGGGCACTGCGCTTGCCGAACAGCTCCGTCGCCGCCTCGGCTGTGTTGAGCACCACGAACGGCATGATGCCAAAGAGCTTCGGCGTCCCGACCGGTCCCTGGGCTCTGGTCCATGCATCCCAGTTCAGCATTGGCCTCTCTATCGGTGAATTGTGGAGGTCACCGATGATGGGCAACTTGAGAGGCTTCGGTGGTCTGTCATTTTTGGCCCTCGATGTGAGAAACAGACCCGTCAGCAGAGCGACAGCGACCAGAACGGCCAGAGTCGAGTCCACAGCCATGGCTTGGTATACGTGAGGCGCAACGAGCAGAGTTATTGGCACATCATGAGGGACGGATCAAACGCGGATGGAGCAGCTGCGATTATTAATAGTGACCGCATCGTTCGAGTGATGGTGACGGTTGCTGTACGCCTATGGAGATACCAGCTTGGGCTCTCGATACTACCCTGCGTTGGTGGTAAGCACGGGGTATGCGCCGAGTGAATTACCCAGAATAGGTGAGACGGGCGCAACCAGCCGGGGCTGCTGCATGGTTGGCTGCGGTGAGTGGGTTGATGCATCGGACGAACTGCCAGGACGTGTCGGTGCCCCGCCCCGGAAGCGACGCCGGGTGGGGCCGGTATGCTAGGACGGCGGCCCGCACTGGCGCTGTTAGTGCCGATCAGTCCCGCTAGCATCGGCATTCAAATGGGACCGGACAAATGATTGCAGACCAGTTGTATCATTACCATTACTACAAAACCATCGCGCCTACGCTTTCTGGCCGTATACCACATGGCTGCGAACTTCAGTTGCTACTCACGAGGCCGATGGGGGACATCACTTACAAGTTGCCATAGGAGTGGAAGGTGCCAGCTTTCAGTTCTGCGCGCACCTTGGCCAGCATGACGAGCACCTTCGCCTCGGGCCATTGGAGCACGCCGCAAAAGACGCGCAGGGTAAACGCTTCAAGCCCATCTAGCAGCTGGATGAGGTTGCACATGCCAATGTCTTTGTAATAGGCGTCCTTGGGCCAGGGGCCAATCGGCCACTTGTGCACGAAATGGCGGACGTTTACGAATCCGGCATCCCTGACCCATTGCTCGAGTTTAGGCCCTGGGCGAGATTCCCGTCCTATACTCACGGTCGCGTCGATGAACTGGTTGTTCCATTGCCAGGTGTGGTGTTCTTCCTTATAAGAGCCGTCGTCGGACTTGAACAGGAAGTCATAGTCTTGAAATTCGGCCCATCCTCCGGGGTTCAAGTTGCTGCCACTTGTTAGCGAAAAGTCTTGCTGCAAGAGGAGAGCAACTCACTCATAAACATTTCCCACCAGCTTGGGCCAATCGCCGATTGATCCAGCCAAGTACCGACTGAAAATGAAGTCAAACTTGGAAGGGTGCAGCCATGGGCTTTCGACGTCGTCAATCTCGAATTTAACATTCGGCGGGGTCCTGTCAGTGTCAGTGAGCCGCTCAACAAGCGGTGTGATGTGCGCACCACTCTGGCTGAATCGCACTCAAGTCGTTGCCGATGACCTGCTGGCTTTAGCAGAGAACTGTTGCTAGAGGGAAAGAACGGCACCTCTGCATGATCGAACTCATCGCCCATCTCAATCGCCCCTGTATAGCTGCCATTAGCACGACTCCAGACCTGCGCAAAGGAGACCTCACAAATCCCTGTGCCGGTCCCAATGTCGAGAATCCTGTGGACCTTCTCCTTCTGTAGCGGGGCCAGGTAGAGCTCCTCATCGAGAGTCTTTCGAATCAACGCGTGGGTAAAGTCAAGGCGGTCGCTCTCATCCTTCAAAGCTGTCAGGTTTGGCTCGAACCGGTGGCATCGTCATACCTCATCGTTGGGGGCAAAGTAAGCTGATGGCCGCTGTCAGCTGCGGCAAGCAATCCAACGAGCCGATATACTTACATCCCGGTCGATAAGCGTGGTATCGTCGTCCATGCTCCTCAGGATAATTGAGGACGCTCGAGGTCAACGTTGCCGTGTACGACGATCTCCCTCGTCAGCACGTTTCGCGAACACGGCAGGGCACTCACATGCGTTCGTCAATGGTTGAGTCGGCGTCTGCATTCTGGTGCAAGTCAGCATGGTACGCCTGAGGACTTGCACGGCCTACATCTTGGTCAACCTCGAGCGGTCGCTCCCCTTCAGCAGAGCCTGGGGACGCGCGAGGGTCATCCGTGTCTTCGCACATCCTGAACCTCAAGCAACAAGGTCAAAGCCGGGCTTCACCGATGCTGCAAGAGAAGCTTCGGCGGGGAAACTCGAAAGGCGAGCGACGACAGACTTTGTACGGCGTCGGCCGCCTTGCTCAGCCTGTCGGCCTTTCATCGAGGGCTGGGCGACCCATTTCTTGACGCAGGTCAGATGCAGAATCAGAGAGGCATTCCTTTTTCTCAGATTCACGCGCCCACCAAGTGATGTGACGTCCGGGGTCGGGAGCTAATCAACGGCTGCAACAGCGGGGCGGCCGGGCAGGCCCCGACGCTTTGATGCATCGAGGCCAATCGCGACTGCCCGCTTCCTTCCCCGGCCTGCAGGCAGAGTTCCGAGGGCGACATGGATGCATGAACCAGCTCAGCAATAAGCATTTCGCATTGCCGGGAGGGGAAAGGAGTACGTGTTCTGACCCTTTCTGTCAGATGGAGATGTGATAACATCTTCAGTCACATCAATTGGTATAAGATCTGATGACCCAAGACACATCTCTGAAAATCTGCAAGCTGGTGACTGATCTGGACGGAATCGCGAATGCAACGAAATTTGTCGTGAGCCGATTGAGTTTGACATCAGACAAGGTGCCAGATTTGTTTTCCAAAACGAGGTATCAAAGAAATCGAAAATCGGTGACTTGCGCTCAAGCAGTGAGAGTAACCGTCATGATTCTCTTGCAATCAAAGAGGAGCTTCCCTTTCCCAATCTCTATCCTGATTGCTATTTCGTGAGAGGTCAACAACGTCAATCCTCCTCATTATCAGTGCTGGGTTCTGCCTTCTGACCATACACAACGTGGCTGCAGGCGGCAGCTGTTAGCCAAATAGGTATCTCGAAAGGCATTGAGAGAACTTACATTGTAATGTAGGCATGGAAGTCCCCCTTCTTCATCTCTCTGCGCACATGGGCAAGATGCACCAGGGTCTCCTCTTTTGTCCATCCCATGATGGCACAGAAGGCTCTCAAACTGAAGGCCTCGAGACCCTCTACGTAATGGATCAGGTTCGTCATACCGACATCCTTGTAATGAGGGTCCTTAGGCCACGGTCCCAAGGGGATGGGGAAGCTCTGGTGAACAACGTTGATGAAGCCGGCATCCTTAACCCAGCGTTCCAACTTGGGTCCAGGGTTCGGGTCGTGACCGATCTTGTTACAGGCATCAATCAATGTATTGCACCACTTGTTTGTGTGGTGCTCTTCTGTCAGAGTACCATCATCGCTGCGGAAAGCGATGTCGTAGTCCTGAAACTCAGCCCAGCCGTTGGGGTTGAGGTGCCTAGGATAGTGTTGATCAGTCCCTTGAACCGTAACGATGAGAGTCATTTGGCGTACTCGTGAATGTTTCTCACCAGCTTCGGCCAGTCTTTAATGGATGCAGCCATGTATCGGGAGAAGATGAAGTCAAATTTGTGGTCATATACCCACTCACTCTCAACATCATCGATTTCGAACTTGACATTAGGCGGCACCCTTTCTTCATGTTAGTACTGGCTTGACTTAGCCTTTCTAAGGCGCGTTTGTCTTACCAAGGTGGCTGAATAGCACTGAAATCATTTCCCAAAACCTGCATTGAATCAGTATTTGCCACAGCTAAAACGAAAATATCAAGAAGACCGTACCTCGGCGTTGGAAAACAGGTCAGACACCTCAACAGCCCCTATAGTAGAGGTCAGTCGCATCATCTTAGCATCAGAGAACAGTTGATTGCGTACAGATACCAGTTCCAGTGCCAATGTCAAGGATTCTCTGCGTCTCTTCCTGCGGGACTGGGGCCAAGAAGTGTTTTCCACCGATCGCCTTCATGATGAGCATGTGGTTGAAGTCAAGTCGATCCATTTCGGTCTGTGAACTGATTAACGAACGAGCATTCTCACAGGGAATTTCCTGTCCCAGGTACTTCATCATTTGGTCCAAGGTATGCTAGTTTAGTGTCAGCTAATGCAGTGAGAACTCCACAAAGACTTGGCTACGTACAGCCTGCTCGAAAGGCATGGTAACGTCGACCATTTTCCGTGGGGTAGTCAAGCACGCTTGAGGACAGGGAAGCAGTGTACGATGAGCTGTTTTGTTAGCTTCCGTTGATGAGGCATACCCCAGGAGCACCTACATCCGATCATCAATATTGGACGCCGTCTCGGCGAGCTGAAGCTTCCGTCAATAGTCTAGACAAATTGAAGACCCGAGGATATAGATTTACTGACGTTTTCAGTATCGTCAGCTTCAAGATTGGCGGGTGCGACAGGCTCGTCAGGCGCTTCCACGTTGGACGAAGCCGTCACGTTGGGGGGAGAGGCCGCGGCCGCTGGGTTAGCCGGTGAATCAGCCATTCTCGATATCAAATGTCAGCCCGTTATTGAGAGAGAGTCAAAACCTTGGCGTGATCAAGTAAGTCTGCGGGAGTTGGTAGTATTTGTACCGTGAATCGACGTCCTTAAGGGTGAGGGGTCGAGGCGGAGCAGGCCAGTCGCCGAGTCTGCAGGTATCGTAACTATCGAGTGGTTCCCTTCTTCTTGCCGATTCACTGTTTGGTCTTGTTGGTGCAAGGTAACATACAGACCTGCATGCGAACGTCCCATTTTCCCAATTCGTTGGAGAAAACTCGCGTTCGTCCGGGGTCTAGAGCTAATCAACAACCTGTCATCGTTCCAACGGCGGGGTCCTCGGTGGCACATTCTGCATTTGTTGCATCTGTCGCATATGAAGCCAATCATCGTGACCGGGCGACCCGCTTCGCTTTCCCCGGCCAGATGATGGATACAGGCAACTGTTCCGCATCTTGTGGGTGCAGAAGCCGAAGTAGGGAAACCGCAGGCGATGATCTTCTACCCTAGAGGAACACGTAGGCTTTACCGAAATACGCGCGACAACTTGGGCTCTCCAAATCCACAACCAGAGAGTTCTGGTGAAACATGACCACGCATCTGTTGGTTCGAGCCCACAATACAGACAATTCGGGCCCTCAGACTTCGGAGCCGGGCTCTGGCTCCGCGTGAGGCGGTTCCTATTATCGTCAGGTGAGCACAAGCCAGACCCGCAAGCTTTCAGCTCCCAACGGCCTGCGTTGGTAAATCAGGCTGTCTCAGATCTGGACTTATTGCCTATTCTCATCTACCAGATACATTGGAATGGTGAAGACCACCCGTCGTCAGAGCTGGGAAATAGCTCAGACGAAATCCGACGACCGAAGTGAACGGGATACCGGAGAATCTCTCATGAGAATCTGCAACATCCACTGACATCAATGACCCCAGATTGGCCAATGATAGTGATATCACCTGTCTCAATCTTCAATTATTCGAAAACGACTGACCCTCACCAGTGGCCATCCCACCATTCAACGGATCCAGGAACCAGGGAAACCCTTCTGGGTCCCACTCGTTGTTGAACATCGTCAAAGGCGCCTCGCCAAAACTGTCGATCCCGTGCCCAAAGAACCCGCCCAGAGAATCAAGACCCATAGCATTGACTGAGGTGGAACCTAGATCTGGACTTGGCAGCAACTCGCTGAACCAGCCGTTCTTCTTGAGTACAAGCCTGATGGACTCGGCCGCAATGCGAGCCTCTCTAGACGAAGACTCATTCTTCATCCAAACGCTGAGGGAATTCCACAGCGCTGTTTTGATGTCCACTTCCCTAGCCGAGGCATATTCGTTTCCAGCCGCATACAGTCCCTTGTACATCGCGCCGCAGAGGGTGATGCAGGCCGTCAGGAATGCATGGTTCCCAATAAGCGACAGCTTGGCTCCCGCAAAATGCAGCAAGCCTCCGACCATGGTTTCCTCGTTGAGAGTGTGTTGTAGCTGCAGAACAGAGAGACAAGAGTCCAAGCACTTCTTTCGCGAGTAGCTGAAGCTGTCGCTTGCTTCGCTGAGATATTTGCGATGGATCATGACCTCACCTATACGAAACATGAGCGCCAAGTATAGCCTGTGCATGATCAACAGCGGGGGATCCGTAACTGACGCCTGCAAAGGCTTCATCTTTAGTGGTGGTGGGAGGCTTTCCTCTGCCTCCCTCACCTGCCGATCCACGGCCAGTACTTCGGTGTAAGCCGGCGGCTTGATTGACGAAGACAGATCGACAGCAGCCCCAACCGCCACCAGCATACGCCTCCTCGCGATCAGTTGAGTGACAGCCGTAACCTCGGTTTCTGGCCTGCTGGGTGGGATCTCCTTCGTGTCTTCGTCAAAGTCCGCGTCGTGTAGGTTCCGTGGCTCCTCTGTATCCCAGTGACCGGCACTAATCCTGCGAGGTATGCCTGTCCGCATCGACATGTGGAGGTCGCCCTCCAAACACTTGACCCAGTTTCGGCGTCGAATCTCCCCGGCGAAGGGGGAAATGCTTGGGAAGTGTGACGGATCTCTGTGGTAGCCCATCTGGAGGAGCAGATTCATGGATACGCCGTGGAGGATGCCGATGGTCTGCGTGATATCTCTTCGCGACGACAACTCTATGATGACATACTGATAAATGGTTTCCCAGGTGTATTGGCCTCCGTTGGCGTACTTTCCCAGTAGCAGACACTGTGCCGTCTTCTCGCGGTACTGATCGATCAAAGCCTTTGGATCTTCGACCTCAGATTTGCCGACGAGGTCGTACGACATGACTGCCATGCACATGATTGAGTACAATAAGCCCAGCCACATGACGGGGGTTTCGGATGGATTCTGGCAAAACTCGGCATACTAAAGAGAGTCAGTCCCTGGGCGAGCTGAGCATGGTGCCTTCAGCTTACCTCCCTCATGAATTTTCCGGTATGAAATGCGCCTGTTGCTTCAATGAGCATGTGATACAGCAAAGCATCATGGGCGTCACAAACCTGATGCCAAGTCCAGAGAGTTGAAATAGTGCGATATGTAGCGGTCCAGAACTTGCTTCGGAGGAATCGAGTCTAGGATCTGTGCCCTTGAGGCAGAGCGTACGCTGTACAGCAGCGGCATCTCCATGTCGTCCTCTGGGGCGGGGATTGAGCCGGGAGTCGCACTGTTGGTCTGAATCTCCTCCTCCGCCTCCAAGTGGTCCTTCAACTCGGCGATCCCGTCCAGAATCGAGGCCCAGTGACTGCTCCCAACATACCGAGCCTCGGATGCGTTCAGCCGGATACTGCCACTCTCAGACGTCTTTGATGATTCATCGCGGGCTTCGGTTGGCGTGCTATTGCCTGCTGGGACATAACCCGTTGCGCTATTTCCTGTGAGCGCCGTAGTCACAGGCGTTTCGCGTGACGGCCCAGGGTCCTCCATCATCGTCACAACCAAGCTCTCAAGCTGGGCCAATCGAGCTTGCAGATTTGCCCGTGGTCGAGCACTGGCAGCATGCTGGGAAATCCCGGCAGAGAGAGGGCCACTATTGGCGTAAGTGCACTGAATGCCATGCTGGACGCACCTCTGGCAAGGTTGCTGTCGGTCACATTTCTGTCTGGGAAGCCAAGCAATGAGCAACCATGCACATTCAACTGTCGAAAGTCCTTTGGGTACTCACTTGCGTTTGCGACAAGTTTCGCATACCACTGTGGGTTTGTCTCTTCGGCGGTTTGGCGGGGGGCGCGGTCTCTCAGGTCCGGCAGAGGCGTCCTGGATGGATGACATGTTTGCAGTGATGTTGAGACAGTCGGGATGGTATTTGGAAGATTTCTGTGCAGTTTTCGCTCCGAGACAGACATCTTTTGGGGAAGGAGATGGGAAGGTCGTCAATCCCAGCCTCCTTCCTGTCAGCGCACTAAAGTACCTACATAAGCGGGTAGAATGGAGCGCCATGCCGCCTTTGTGCATAACGAGAAGAAATCTGACTGCCTACGCAAAAGGGGGCCTAAAAGCAGCCAATGAGACCAAATTTCCGGAGCCTGCTGATGACGAGGCCATTGATGATTCCTGGTGGGTGAAAGACCGGCATGAAGCCACCTGCAGATTAATCGTTCACATGCCATTGGGTTGCTCGATGGTTCTGGTTTCCATCCAATCAAGAAAAAGATTCTATTAGAATTATGAGTGACCCGAAAGCCCTGTTTGTGAAAGAGACCTCTTGGTCTAAGACCTATCTATTAATGCTCCTTTTGTCTATGCCTTTAAAAGTCAAAGAAATCGTGTCATATGGCCTGCTTTATTGGCGAGAAGCTCACAAACTCGTGGCTGTCTTGCTGCGAAGCCAACCTCCATACTTGTAGAAGAACATCGGGGCGGGTACGAAAGCCAGGGACAAGAAGCCAAGGAGAGTGTTGCCCCAACCGTAGTTGAGCGTCTCATACATCTTTGTGCCTGCCAGAGGAAGGAAAGCACCGAATAGGCAGCGCAAGAGGATGTTTGCGCCGAGGGCTGACGCGGCAGCCTCAGAGCCGAATACGTCGACCAGGTAGATTTGCGCAGGTAGCTACTCACTTCGTTAGCAAGCCGATTTTCAATGTTCGACAACAATTCCCTAACTTACAATGACGAAGAATGCTCCAAAACCGATGAAGAAGGTGCCGATGATGGGAGCGATCCAGTGCACCTGATAATGCGCGGTCCAGCCATAGATGAAGAACCCGATGGTCATGACGGGAGCGAACCAAATCATCAAAATGAGCCGATGTTCGGGAACGGACCGCCCCTCTGACTTTGTGCGCCATGCCGATACTCGGTCACTCAGTGTGCCAAAGACGATGAGACTTGTCAACTCGCCAATGCCGATGCCCAAGTAGGCCAGACCGACGAGTTCGGCTTTGAAACCGTAGACCCCCTGGAAGATTGGGGTGATGGTGGTGAAGAGGAGGTACAGCAGGCCGAAGACGAGACCGACGTAGAGGGACATAATGAGGACTATAGGAGAGAAGATCAAGAGTTTTCCAGTTCGGACAAAGGCGCCGATCAGGATTTGGGATGAGGTGAGGCGGCGGTCCAGCTTCGAGCGCAGCTCCTGGTTGCCCGTCTCGCGGCGGAGACGGTCGGCTTTGCGGGAAAGCAGGATGTTGGGATGGGTCTCTCGGAGGAATGCCAGAGCTACGAGTGAAATGAGGCTGCTCTGGTCAAGATGTTAGTATCGTGACGATGGACCCGCCAGTCAGGGGTTGCTCACCATGATGGCCATGAGCCAAAACGTCCAGCGCCAACCCTCGCGAGTTGACAGGAAGCCTCCTATGACTGGACCGAGGACCTTTTATCGTAAAGGTCAGCTTCGGGATCTGTGGCCCATTGAGTGATCAACATACCGGTCCCATCAGGGGTCCAAGAGCGAACAGCGCTCCAGCAGGACCACGGTGCTCTGAGGGAATCACGTCCGCGATCGTACCGCCTCCAATGGTCATTGGAGCAGAGCCTGCAATGCCAGAAAGAACGCGGAAGATGAGAAGTTGAGGCACCGTCTTGCTCAAAGCTGTACCGATAATGAAGGCAATGAACAGGACGTTGCAGATATGATATACGATGAGGCGGCCGTGCATCTCGGAAGCGGAAGAGATGATGAGGGGGCCCAAGGCGAAGCCCAGAAGGTATATCGTGACGGATAGTGTGCCGATGGTTTGGCTGGTGATGTGGATGTCTCGTACGACGTATTCCATGCCGGGCGCTATCATCGTGGCGGCAAGGTTGCTGAGGTCCGTGTTAGTTACCGACGTGGATTGCAGCTGGGTGAAAATGTGACTTACACGACGAGGGAGAGCAGAGATACAATGACCACATGTCCGTACCGCAATCTTGCCGACCAGTTCAGCGGGTTTTGAGGGTCTTCCGGGCCTTCCCAGTCGACAATATTCTCATCAGTGGTGATGGTCGGGGCATTGGAACCAGCCTCGAGATCGGCTGCTTTTTGTTCTGCATTTGAGATCACCAAGGCAATCGGGGTTTCCATTTCGAGGGACGGTCTGTATTTTCTCAATGTCTTTTGCGAAAGAACCTTTGCGTTCTATGTGTTGGATGAGCGCTTGATCTTGAGTCGTAGATGTGCGGTGATGAGCTGGATGCAGTGAGAGGCAGTGTCACTTACCCGAGCCAAGACGGCCAATTTAAATACACAAAGCTGGGAGTTCGTCTCACCAATACCGGGCCGCTCCGTTACCATCCGCATGTTGTCCACCGAGTCGGATGTGTGGACCGACGGAGCGCGGTGTCGGATGGTCGGTGGATCGGCTGTCGGAGGGTCGGACGGTGAGATTGTGGACCGTTCAACCACCACACGACCGCATCATCGTATCAGATGCCTTAATCCAACGGGTTTAGGCAAAGAGGTAAGTCATAGTGTAAATCCTTTAGGTTTAAAGCGTGGTTGCATGTCTCAATAGCTCAGTAGCAGTAAGTAAGGGTAGAGCAGATAAAAATACTCTGCAAAAGAATGCGTTGATAAATTATATTTCTAATCGGGTGGAAACATTATAGGTAGAGCTTTAGCGCAATGGTTTGCTGGTCTAAGTATATCGTTTAATCTGCGGGCAAATTGGTGTAGGGCACAATTCACACCGAGCTGAAGTGGGTGAGAGGTATAGCTGTAAAGCATGTTCGAAAGGGGCTCCCTATCCTATGAGCGACTACTTTTCCTATATGCTCGCTATTGTTATTGCTGTTGTAGTCGCTATTACTTTCTCAACCTTTATCATTATCCTTTGTCGTCTTCCTCTGTTGTTGTCCTTGCTGTCGTCCCTTCCTATTGTCCCTCGTCGTTCCCATAAAAGCCACCAAGTACACGGCGGTCTTATTTGAAAGTAGGTGAATTGAAAACGCACGCAGTCTCTATTCTTTGCACAGAACCAGCCCATTGGGTTTTTTCCAGAGCGGGAGAAAAAACCCTGCCGACTCAGAAAAAAAAAACCCCTTCTTCACCTTGCGTTGTTTTCCTCGCGTCAACAACCCAACCCGACAACACAATCTCAACACCCAGCACCAGCAACGCGTTCAAGATGTCGTTCAAAAAGCGACGCGATTGCGAGTCGGAAGATTTGAGGGTTTCGAAAAGAGGCAACTTCTCCAGCCATCGAGGCAGCTCCCGAGACAACAGCGTCGATTACAAGGGCGAATACCAAGGCGATCGCGACAGTCACAGAGACGGCTTTCCCAGCCAGGGCGACCATCAAGGCTACCAAGGCGGCTTCTTTAGCCAGAGCGGCGACCATCGAGGCGGCCATCAAGGCGGCTTCCCCAACAGGGGCGGTCACCACGGTCAACATGGCGGATACCAAGGCGATCGCGACGGTTTCACTGGCCAGAGGGGCTACCATCGAGGCGGCCACCACGGCGGATACAGGGGCGGATACCACGGCGGCTTCCCCAGCAGGGGCGGTCACCATCACAGCTCCCGAGACAACGGCGTCGATTACACGGGCGAATACCAAGGCGATCGCGACAGTCACAGAGACGGCTTTCCCAGCCAGAGCAACCATCAAGGCGGTCATCAAGGCGGCTTCCCCGGCAGGGGCGGTCACCACGGTCAGCACGGCGAATATCAAGGCGGACACCAAGACGATCGCAACGGTTACAGGAACGGATTCCCCAGCAGGGGCGGTCACCATGGCCACCACAGCTTCCAAGGCGATCGCAGCGGCTTCTCTAGTCAAAGAGGGGGCTTAGAGTCAGCGTCAAAAGCTGCCAAGAAGACCGCAAATGTTGCCATAGTGGCCGCATGTGCTGCTAGAGCGTTAGAGAAGCAGCAGCATCTTCAAGCTATAAGAGAGGCTGAGATGAAGGGAGCCCGGACTGAGCCCCCTTTCGTTGCAAAGGTCACTTACAGCGAGGCAGAAGCGGAACTTATGAAAGCGAAAGGCAGAGACGCTTTTGAGCGCAAAGGGAGCTACATCAGATGTTGCAACTGTGGCCATTATGGCCACCGCAACATCGACTGCATGTTCCCAGACATGTATGGCGTTATCTCAGGATGCTTTATCTGCAATGACAAGGGACATGTCATCTATGAATGCGCCACAGAGGTTGCCAGAGAGCTGTTCAATGACCCCCAGGCGCTTTACGAGCTTTTCGTTCGCGACCGCGGCAACAAACCTCCCGGCAGATTGAACATCCCGTGGGTCGAATGGGTTCCGCTAATCGAGAGTGGATTGATCATTCCGGCAAAGTACAAAGGAGGTCCGTTTCCGTGGACCAGAAAGTTCACTCAGAAGATGCGAGACGGAAAGTACGAGGTGGATGGCAAGGTTGTCCGGATCTGGGAGAACTACGACTACAAAGCCGAGAACACTCAGCTGCCGTCCGATCCAGCTACGGCTTCTTTCGATGCCATCATGGAGAACCATGATAAGCTTTTCGATTCCGAAGTTGACAAGCTCAGGGGGGACAAGTTAGCAGCCTACAAGAGACAATTGTACTACGACTCCGATGACGATGAATCGACAGATTCCAATTCGAAGGAGGCCCACTCGAAGTACGCCGACCCGGGTGGCGACGACCTGGATGACGAAGACTCGAAGGACATTAGCCTGAGAGCAGCCATCCCGAAGCATGACGACTCGGACGACGAAGACTCGAAGGACATGGGCCCGAGAGCAGCCATCTCAGAGCACGATGACTTGGATCATGAAGATGCCAAGGACGATTGCCTGCGAGAGGTTGAATCGAAGGACACTGGATCGGACGTTACCGGCGCCGGAGAGGTCATCGTGAAGGAGGAAGAGTGGACGGAAACCGCGTCGGATCATACCAACGCCAGGGTCACCGTGAAGGAGGAAGAGTGGACGGACACCGAGTCGGAGATTACTGACGCCGAGGAGGTCGCCGTGGAGGAGGATGAGTAGATGGACCGGGTCGGACGATACCAACGCCGGGGTCATCGTGGAGGAGGACGAGTGATAGACGCCGGGTCGGACATTACCGACGCCGTGGTCATCGTGGAGGAGGACGAGTGATAGACGCCGGGTCGGACATTACCGACGCCGTGGTCATCGTGGAGGAGGACGAGTGATAGACGCCGGGTCGGACATTACCGACGCCGTGGTCATCGCGGAGGATGACAAATAGATGGACCGGGTCGGACGATACCAACGCCGGGGGCATCGAGAAAGAGAAGAGAATAGATGTGTTCTAGTAGGCTAGCTGCCATAAATGTGAAAGAATGCGCCCATGTACAGTCCCATTGAAAACTTGTCGCGAGGTGGAACAAAACCGAGGATTCATCGTCGCCCGCTTGTAGTCTCAGGCCTTCTGACCGTTATCGAACCATCTCTTCAGAAGCGCTATCTCGTCGTCGGTGAGCGCAGCTTTCTCAGTGCCGTGAAGGGAGATGACGTAGGCCACCAAGCTGCCAGACTTGACGGCCTCCTCTGAGTCGCGGGCCTCGAGGATGGCGCCAGCCTGGGCTGGATCGGCAACGAATTGAGAGAGGAGAGCCAGCTCGTCTTCGTCGAGGATCGGGCAAGGGTCGTTGTTGCGGTTGATGATTTCCTGAGCGAGAGTGTGGGTGTCAATCATGTGGCGCGGGGAGGGGCCGGTGTAGGGGGCGGACGCGGCGGCGGCCATGATGAATGAATTGGGACGGATCAAAGGCTGCGAGATGTTTGCTTTGAATGGACGTGAGATGTCAGAGACAAAGAGCGTCAGCAGCGTCAGTCTGTGGTGCAGCTTGAATAGAACGCGCAAAGTTCAGCACACCTACATTGGGGCATTTATATAATGCAGTAGAAATCATAGGCGCTATATTTCGATTTTTTTCGTCTGCCTGGCGCAGGCAACAGCGAAGGCCTGCTAGCTTTGCCCTGCTTCGACAATAAGCTCAGGCCACCACTCTTTGGGGGGATTTCCCATTTACACACAACTAGCTGCATAGATACTGAGGTATGCTTGTAGGCCTGCTAGAGGAATGCATCAGCGTAAGAACGTGGGATGAACTTGAGCAAATGTACTTTTGGTTTCCTTTTTGAGCCTCTCTCTATTCAGCCACTCTGCAAGCAGAAACTATAACAGCACCACATCACCACAAGCCTTATATTGAGTTCGGGGCGCAAAGATGGGTGGCCCGGCCCGTCGGCGTGGCTCGGTGCCCGTTTGCCGTTTCGGGCATCCGGTGCCGAGCGCCGCGCCGGACTTGCTGGACTCTGTCGAGATAGACACGTACGCAGACAAAGACATATAAACTCGTGCAACGTCTGATAGATTCCCGCGTCTTGACCAGACCATTTCAATCAGAAACCATGTCGGCTCAGCACATCACCTCCCTCTTTGAAGCATTCCTGGACAAGGTCAACACCCGGGAATGGGATGAGGCTAAGAACTATCTCGGGGACACGGTGACCTACAACGATCAACAAAAAAGCGGCAATGACTTCATCAGTCGCCTGAGCGCTGATGTCAAAGGAGGCCGCCGTACTCAACTCAGGACTGATGCTGTTGCTGTCCACTCTGACGGGAACTCCCTCGGCGCTCGCCAGATTGCCACAACAGTCAGCGCTGAAGGAGTGTCCCTCGAAACGTGGTCGCTTGTCCTCGTTTTCCTTGACGCCAGGGGCAAGATCTCACGCTTCTACGAGATTGAAACGCGTCCGAACCCGCGAGCCCCTCTTACCGCCCGTGTCGCGCCCACGGCGCCTCCTGCGTCAGAAACGCGACTGTCAGCAGACGGTCTGAGGAATGCATACCACACGTACATCCAAAGTTACAACGACGGTGCGATGGCGGTTGTTGTGCCGCAGATGATGGCCCCAGAGCTGTTGATGAACGGGAATCCGCTCCCGCGCGAGGTTGTCGTCGGCTTCTTTGAGAAGTTTCTCCTGCCCGCAACAGCTGGGCTGAAGTATCACGTCCAGGACATGGTGACGGACGTTGAGAAGCAGCAGGTGTTTGTGAGGCTCACGCTTGAGGGGGTCCCAGAGAATAAGAACCTCCAAAGAGGGGACAACAGACAAAACCCAGTTAAGATCAATGAGATCGCAACGTATGCATTCCAGGATAGCAAGATTGCTTGGTGCTGGGCTGCGCCGGACTTTGACCTTACGCCGCCGTAGCGTGCCACTTCTGAAAGGCCTGAAATGTGCAAATTGGGTTGTACCTATAAGAGTGGGGAGGTAGCGTTCTCATCAGCGTAGTATGTCTTAGGGCAGCTGATGTCCACCTGTATTTAAAGGCATAGTGGACTTTCATTTAACCACCCTAAATTTTGCGAGAAGACTTGATTTACACCCTAACTAGTGCGTAGAAATACTTTCAGCACTCTATTTCCTCCTCGCGATACTTTGCATCCTCGCGACACTTTGCATCCTCGCAATACTTTGCATCCTCGCGATATTCTGCATCCTCGTAACACTTTGCCTCCTCGCGACACTTTGCATCCTCGCGACATTCTACGTTCTAAAAGAGAGCAGATCTTTCTAAAGTCACGGTGCAGCAGCGCTTAGAGGGCAACGTAATGAAACCATTCTGACATGCAAAGTGATTGAACTGACAGTATGATAACCAGCAGTCTCTACAGGAAACAGATCACAAGACAGTAGACAAGACATCACAGGCACGCATAAGCTATGGTTGACCAGACTCTATTATCTACCTGTTCCAGTCTTGGGTTGCGCGATAACAGCTGATTGCTGCTGTCGCCAACTCCCGTGACGCGTCGCTGGAGCACAGCTAAATGCTGCACCCACTCTCTGATCTCGTCACCCCTTTCCGGGAGCACAGCTAAATGCTGCACCCACTCTCTGGTCTCGTCACCCCTTTCCTGGAGCACAGCTACATGCTGCACCCACTCTCTGGTCTCGTCACCGCTCATCATCAGTCCATGGAACTCAGCTACTTGCTGAGCTCCCGAGGAACACGTTCAAGGATGGTTATACCAAACTTGCGTGTTCTTCAGCCATTCATAGTTGGCAAAGAGGGCGGGCAGCGATGAGGGAAGACTCTGCAAGTGGACGGGGATTGATTGAAAGAGGGTGGTTGCAGTGAATTTGGTCGATAGCAGCCTGGCAGCTCTTTATGAAGCTATGAGCCGGGTCACTATTATCAGGAGCGAACTTCTCGAGGTGGTCAGACTTCTGCTTGTACTTTTTGTCCATCCATGCGCTCGCAGCTTGAACACGCCCAGTCAACGTTCCACCGCATGTGGCGTAAGCGTCACTAATCGGCGAAATTGCCTGGCGGAAAGTCAAAGACCGGTCTTGAGTGTGCGGTCCATTCCATAGAAGCATGTCAAGCTGTGCCTCTCGCTCATTAACCCCCCCATCGGTATGGTTGACAAGGAACCGAGTAATCTCGGAAAGCAACTTCTGAGTGTCCAAGATGTGGTGCCGAGTTTCGGGGGGTTCGGCAAGCCACGCCTCATCAACCTTCTGCTGCCTGTGAAGGTAAATGCCCCAGATCGCCAAGTCCGAGAGATTGTGGTTCTCCGAGTGGTCATCGAGCCATTGGTTCAACATGAGATGCTGATTCGGGGGCTCGATCGTCAGATGGCGGCAGTATTGCTTCAGGCCAATCCACGCCTTGGTGTAGTCTTCCAAAAGGCTCATGAGAGAGCCGTCAGGGTTCTTCTGGAAGCATAGAAGATAAGTGGTTCCCTCGTAGTCGAGCCAGGCAACCTGTAGCATTTGGTTGAGGTAGAGGTTTGCAAGATACATTTGCTCGGAGTTGCGAAAAAGACTCTCCTGTTGGACGTCGGGAGGAACTGGTACGGCGAAGCCCTCTCCAACTAGGCCTCGTTTGTCTCGAAGGAGGAAAGACTTCTCGAAGATTTTCTCACGCTCCATCCTGCCTCTGTCAATGGCTTTTGCAATCTCAGCAGGCATTCTGAAGTTTGAACAGCCCTTCTTTCTGGTGAGCTTCGCCCACTCAATCGGCTTCTGCTGCAGATGAGAGACAGGCATTGTCACCTCAGGGGCCGACGTGACATGGCTTGCATCGGGCTTGGTCTCGGACTCGGATTCGGTGCATTTCTCGAGCTTCGACTCGTCCTCAGGCTTGTATTCTATCTCCAGCGTGAGGCCGGTCTTGTCCTTGGGCGCTGAATCGTTCTCCGAGACAGCCTTACCCTTGCCCTTTCTCTGGGTAGCCTCAGAGGCCTTCTTGCTCTCGAGGAACTCGCGGTAGCCGTCGTCGAGATCCGCCATCTCCTCCTTCCTGATGATCCAGGGGACAAACTCCTCGGGCCAGGTTTTCTCATCGTACACGTCTGTCACGGTGTCAGTCATATGAATCATCGGTGATGCAGTGAACTTACTCAGTGAAAATGCGCAAACCTTCAAGGCCTCGTGGGCGACGTATCGCCGGGGCACCCAGGTGTCGTCCTTGTTGGCGTGGATCCATTCGTATGCTTTGCGGATACCGCCCTTCCACATCATCTGGATTTCAGGGCTCAGAAACTCCTCAAAGGTCTTGGTGTAGATTGCCACCCAGATTTTTCTGGTGACGCAGCCGTCTGCGGCATCCTTGGGCGTCCAGTTCTCGGCGCGGTTGTCGTTCTTGGTGGGCTTCTCGCCCGAGTCGGGGGTTGGCTGCGATGATGACATTTTGTCGTCCTTGCTGTTTCACCAAATTCACGAAAATCCGTGTTGTTGATGAAGATCAAAAAGGAAAGGGCAAAAAAAAAAGTCCCAGGTGAGAGCGTGGTCGCTAATTTTCGAGACTCACCTGCGTTTGCTGCTTCTCGGTCGTCGGCTCCACAAAATCGGTGCTTGGCACGGGGACAGGGGTGGCCCGTCCGGCGTTCTAGCCAATCAGAAGACAGGAGTGACCTTTAACGAGAACAACATGCCTCCAGCGCAGTCAACACGTCTTTGCGTTCACCAAATCAAAGAAGCCTTTTAGAATGCTAGGGCTTGTGGGCCCTTGAAAGATCTTCTGAGGGAGAAAGAGAGAGATCGCTAATATCTCCGTGTCTGCATTCGTGTGTACTGAATAATTTTCAAGTTTCACTTCGATGTAAGACGGCGTCAAGTAAACACAACCGTAGGTGCAGACCGCAGCGGCAACAAAGGCGACGTCTCATTAAGGAAATACGCAGAGTGTATAAAATATTCAAAGTATTTAGAATTATAGAAAGTCATGCATGAGTGTTATGGAAGGAAGGAAGGGGTGGGTTACAGAAAATTACCTCCCCAGGCGCTCCGATAAGCGCCAGAGGTCTGTCGGGGCGACTTATCAGGGCGGCTCTTTGGTATTCGCGTGGAGGGAAGGGTCAACTTCAATGCCAATGTGTATTCTCTAACTATGTACTGCTATCTGTCTGTAATGTCTCAGCTGCACAAGCATCAACTTTCTCTGCTGGCTGAGGTCGCGACTGGGCGAGGGAATTGAGTCCGAGACCGAAAAGCTCAATATTTGGGATACTCCAAGGGGCAATCGTCTCCGTTCACATCTTTTTGGCAGTCGCAGGACAACGGCCGTTTTTGCGGGGTGTTTGACTCGGGGTTCTCGAGGAAAACCAAGCCATTCATTTCGACGTCGTCATCGTTCACCTACGACAGCTGCGACAGTTCTGTGAGACGGCCGGCACGGGGCTGGCAGGAGCAGGCGTATCCTTCATCTTGACGCCTTCTTCTTTGATCTCCAGGGGAGCGGGGGCGACGGCGACGGGGGCCCGCCTCCGCGATCTGGGCCAGGGACAGAAGCCGCTCATATCGATGACCCTCCTCTCTTGAGGATAGTTCTTCCGCATCTCGGGATTGATCATGTCGTAGACGCAGATGTTTCTGTCGCCCTCTTCTTTGCGTGGCATAATCTCAAAGATCCTCCGGTATTCGGCGCTTCTTCGTCCCGCGTCGCAGGCATCTCGGCTTTGTCGTTCGAGGTCGGTGAGAGGAGGCATCCGGTGCGCCCGCGTTCGGCTGTAGTAGAGGCAGTACGTGTGGCCATACTCGGCAATGTCCCACTTCATGCCGGCGTAGGGGGATGGAGCCTCTGGGTAGATGTCGTGGCCGCTTGTCGCAAAGAGTCGAATGCGGTCCCTCTTGTCCTCCTCGTAGATGCCGGCTCCTCTGAGTCGGACCGCTGCCGTGAGGTTGTACTGCTGATACTTCTGTTTGTCCGAAAAGTCTTTGCCGCAGGGCAGCTCAATGTTGAAGGAATGTAGAGCATCCAGATGCATGTCGTCGAAGACTAAGGGGGCGTATCGGACTCTGATGACCTCCGAGCACCAGGCGAAGTCGAATAGCTCTCCAGTCCCGTACCCTCGAGCGGGAAGGAACCAAAGTTCTCTTTGATGGCTGCGAACACGTCAAAACCGGTCTTTCCGGTCTTGGCGTTGTCGACCTCGATGATCTGGGATCGGAGTGACTCTGCAGCTTCCCACTCGGCGTCGTCGTTCTTCGCGATCATCGAACCAAAGAGGCGATACTTTGGGCGGTCCCAGAGCGTTTGCTCATCAAATCCGAGTTGTTCCAGAACTCAAAGGAGTACTGGTTCTTGTAGTTTTTATCCACCTGAACCATTTCTTTCTTGAGCATCTCGTACTGTTCGTTTGTCTGTAAGGGCACAGCCTTCCATGACAGTCGCAGCAGCGGGTTGAGCTTTTCCTCCCATAATCTGAGCGACCCGGGGCCCTCCTGATTTGGGATGACCTCCTTGTAGTCGGTGATGCCGTTGTTCATGTGCCTTGCCAGCATCATCAAGCAAGAAATTCCTGAGGTGTCGCCCACCTCCTTGCACTCTTTCGGCCAAGGGTCGTGGAGATAGTGTCGAGTTCGGTTGAGGTAAGCGGTCTTTTCCGCATCGCGGACATCTTCGTTATGGCCACCACCCTAAGCCGCAAGACTCTGCTGGATTGGTATCATACTCATCGCGAGATTTCCGTGGTGTGGGTACTGTGACAGTGTGTTATGTGGTGTAATACTTAATTCAACCTCTATCTTTCTAACTAATTCCTTTTACCTTTCTATTAAGTATTTATTTAGAACTTATAAAGAGGACTTACTAATAGTTACCTAGAGAAGCTAGTCTTCTAAAGTAGTATATAGTTTTACTACTTAATATTTAGCAACGCAGGTCTATAAAAATATCTAAGAGTGAATGTATAGAAGAGGAA